GTTCAACTAACTCCTATAGGAGGAATTTGAGGAAATATTATCTATTTCGTACATCACATAAAAAAAAACAAATATAGTTTAACAAGTAAAAAGGCGCTGAAAAAGAAAGGAAAAACGTGGAAACAAGGAAATCAAGATGTTGGGACATTATTGGCAAAAGAGAAAAATCTGGGACGGTAGGCTTTGAGTGTGTTTGCAAAATAACAGTCTTAAAGCAGCGGGTTGGCGTGATTTAGGTGCCAAGAGGAAGTACATGTACATCTCAATTATCTGGTCGTTATTTAACCTCTTGAACTTGTAAATATATGTTTTTCCATTCTAAGAATATTATAAGTCAATGTTTAAATTTAACGCTATAGCATTGAATCCAGATAAATTTACAAATATATATTTTATGAATAAAGATATTCTGCACATCATTTTTCACATTCTATTCACTCCTGCATGCATTGCGAATTACAGATAAATTTATATAGTATACTTGTGTTTTTTAAAATTGTATTTTATAAATTAGAAAATTGTTGCAACTTAAAAATAAAAAATGAAATAATTAATAATGTTCTGATTACAAAGATAAATTTGGATCCGAAAACTGTGCGTAGATTTTTTTTTTTTCAAAAGGGTTGAACCTTAATCCTAGCTCCAAGCTAAAAAGAAAAAAAAAAAACAGCTTTTGTTGGTTGTTCATATCTAGAGCTAGGATTACGGTTCAACTCTTTTTTTTGGGATTTATTTTAGTCTTTTATATAGATATGTGGATTATGTGTATTTCACACATGAGCAATAGCAGAAACTAATGAATAGCTTATCATTAGTGTCTAAAATAAATATTTTTTGACCAGGAAAATAAACAGTTGAATGAGTAGTGAAGTTGTTACGGCGAATGTGTTAGCAAGCAGACTTACTCCAAGAGAATGTTATTAGCCATAAAGAAGGCTATTAATTAGTCGTTCTTCTGCACTTTTTAATAAAATAAATAGAGAGAAAATTATTATATAGTTTCATGTAAATAACACTCCATCCGATCCTAAATATAAGATATATTTTATAGTGTAAATATACTATAAAATGCGTTTTATATTTAGGATCGAAAGAGTATAATCATGATAAAAGTTTCACAGCAATTCCAATGAGTAACACATCTATGTGTTGTTTTCTACGCCAAAATTTATCACCGCATATTACTCACTAATTCTTAGGCTTTTGAGTGATTAGATTACAAATATGGGATTGCATTTTTTTTCATAAAGAAAGGGTTATGTATAGAGACATACTTTTTATTCAAATCATTTTAGATCAGATCTGGATAGATTTAGTTCTTTCTCTCTTTTCTTAAATGAAATTTTGATAATAAAATTAAAAAATAATATCAATTTTACACTTAATTTTAGAATATAAAAATAAAATTTTAAATGTTGCCCGTCTAAGTTTGTTGTGAATGATACGCCGCGTAGAGAACAGGCAAAAGGGTAAGGCTCCAAATTCAAACGGTGCAGGGGGCACGGGTCGGATCAGTGTGACCTGGATTCCGAGAATGGGCATTCCTCCAGCTCTGCGCGTAATAATTAGTTCATTTGTCAGCCGTGACTGTCCCACATCGGCATTGTGAGACCCCCCTCGCTGATATTGTATCTTTCTAAAATCCAGTAAATATAAGAACTAGTTTGTATTTAATTTTTTTATAATAAAATTTAATTTTAAATATAAAATTTAAATCCACTTTATTTTTTATGTTTATTTATTTTTTTAAAGATAGTTTTTATAATAGTTATATATATTAAAGTTTTATCATATGACAATTTTAGCTAATACACGTAATTAAAGAGAATATTTTAGACAAGACAGCATGTATTTATTATAAATAACTAACTTAACTAATTTTTTTAATATACTTCAATTAATTGAATAACTCTTATATTAAAAAGCTGAAATAGTACCAGTTATCCGTATCATTATTTTCCCGTGTTCTTTATTTCGAAATAGGTCTCATACACTAAATTAAAAGAGGAAATTTATAAAAAGTTGAATTATTCAAAAAAATAAACCACAGTCATCTCTCACCATATTACCTGCCAAACATGTCTCACATCTAATTGTGTGTATTTAATTATAAATAATGGCTAATGAAGAAATTTGACGTTTTGTGCTTTCGTTTTTCTTAACTAATCCGGTGCGAGATTTATTATGTGAATTGATATCTTTATGCATTTGTGTTAGAATGGAAAGAACAAAAGAGTTAAAAAAGTCATACACGTTTCGGTTGCACGTGATAAATGTGCCTTTCAATCGTATATTTTGTTGAGAGAGGGATAAATATTTTAAAATAGCTGCTCCATCAAATTTCTACTTGTTCCTTTCTTTTTTACCCCCCAAAGACATGAAAGCGAACTACGAAAATTATATTCAAATCTTTGATTTCAATTAAATAATTATATCACTAACCATCATAATAAAAACGGCCCATTTAATTTATTTCACCCAATTTTAGTAAAATTTAGCTGAATCTAATTTTGTTTATTGATACCAGTGGATATCCATACGCAAGTTCTTGAAATATTTGAACATGTTGATCTATCCAGAATATTTAAGGACCAACAACTTATATATCACTGATTATAAAAATCCTGAAAATTAAAAGTTCTTATACAAATTACAAGATAAATCATATTTATGGTTTTGATAAATAAAGCAATTATTTTGCTGTATGTAGAAGCTTCTCTTATATTAGCTGTTTGAGACAATCAAACATGTATAATTTGATACGTGCGCGAACACAGCGGGAGAGAAATGGAATCGCAAGAAAAGATATTGGTCAACAAATTGCTATAGAGAGAAATGAAATCGCAATGATATAATGTGGGAAGATATATAATAACGTGAATTGTAAGGGATGAATGCTTAGCCAGCTTGACTTGACAATTAATTCTGTGCATACTACCTCCTCTCTAGTCGCTTTAATTAATTTATCAAAATTAAAAAATAGTAGTTAAATTATTAAATTTGTTTCAAATTGAGGGTTTTTTTTTTTGGAAAAAAAAAATAAGGAGTTACATTTGCAAGAGCAAAATTAATAAATAAATATTACTTACTCTTCAGATAAACAATCTATTCTTCTAGAAGCCATTTATATTATAAATTAAAGAAATATTAATTAATAAGAATGGAAATAGTAGGATATATAATGTACATATTTTGAAAGAAAAGTTGCTCATAAATACACGTTTGGATATTTAATTGGCCGGCAGTCATTGAAATCTAAAAAGGGTATGAAATCGTTTAGAATCATATAATGTTGAATTCAAGGGTTACTGGGCAATTAATTATTCAAACAGATAACTATAGGTAATTGTTTCTATTTTAAGTTGATGTTAATTATTTTATTGATAGGGATAATATGGGTGACAAAGAATAATGAAATTATGGAAGGAAATGAAAGAAGTAGTCCAATCGAGTGATAATAATGTGAGTCTTGTAACGTTGTAAGTGTAATGAAGTAGGTTTGCATGCCAAATGAGTACTTAGGGGAGGGTCATTATTAAGTCTAATCATGAACTGGCTGTCACCATTTTTCTCTCTTGCTTTACATGCGTCTATTATTCCCACATTGACCCTCGACCTCCACTTATATCCATCTCATCATTTTATATTTACTTCCCATCCATCATTTTAAATGGGAGAAAATAACTGAAAAAGACCGTAAAAATTATAAAAATTCAAATCATGCATTCTCACAAAATATGTTATTATTTACAAGTTAATTGTTGTCAAAACTTGGTAAAATATTATAAATTGTGACGAATCTTGATTTGAAAATTTGTAATTTCCACGGTCTGTCATTTTCTCTTTTAAATGCTATCTTTAGCCGTTTTTACATGACCCAATAACTTGAGTCAATTGGTAAGCAAATTGGCAATCTTTATCTTTAAATAAGAGTCCGATTCTGCAAATATTATTCAGATTGAACTGGGCAGCTGGGTTCAGCATGATTGCTGAATACTGAATGCGTATTATTTTATGATAACTATGTTTTATTTTCACAGATCCTCTAATATGAGTACAAATAAAATTTAAATATACAACTATATGAGGCACTAGACATAGTAGATGGGTGAGAACTATACAATATCTGTCTCATTATTTTGTCTTCATTTCTTTTAATTTTAAATCTATGCCCACATAAGCTGACAAGATTAGATCTAATTACTCAATCAGAAAAAATGATGAGCTAATCAGTATATAATTATATATAGTTTAATCCACGACATTAAATTTTGTTTTCTATGATGCTATTAATATCTTTATCAATATATTAAACTTCTCTCATGCTTGCAATAAATTTTTCAGGGTTACATAGCATTGATTAATTATTGGGCAAGCTTTTTTGAGCAATTATTGTGCAAGTTGATATTATTTTAAACATCAATCGTCAATATCATTGTGTCCATAAAAATTACATGAAACTGCATTATTTATAATTCGTCTGTGGTTTATCTTGGGTTTCCTGTAAGTATATGGAACCATAATAATTTTCCACAAAAGAAATCCTAATTAATTATTCAAGAATAAGAAAAACATTAAAAAAAAAAAAAAGGAAAGGAGATTGGCGATTAAGTAAGAGCGGTTTTACCATGGGAGAGAGGAAGTATGAAAATTGTACTATGCCTATGAAAAAGGCGGAAGAGGAGGAAGTCAATAACAGTGATGCCTGAAACTGACTTAACGTTGGAGTAGATTTGGATGCTGGTTTGTTAATCTAATCAATGAGCTGGATACACTCTTTCAGGAGAAGAAGGAGCGACCCAACTTTGAGTATTATATATCCAGTGACAGCACTCAAACGATTAAAAAACTAATCCACTAATTTATTTCATAAATATTATTAAAATCCCCCCATTCCAGTAATGCAGCCTCCAACAGATGCATGCCAAGTTTCTAAGCATTTCAAAGTTCAAAGCTTTACACATCCTGAACAACTCAGTTTTTCTCTGTACTAATAATTCTCTTTTTTTTTTGGGGTTTTTTTTTTTTTTTTTCAATCGAACTTCCTTCTCCCTTCTTCTCCGATTCCTGCGGTCTTCAGTTTGGCTTTGCTTCGAATTCTGAACTCACCTGTATAAAACATCCATTCACTTTTACCCCCAATTCAACTATGTGCAGAGAATCAGCCTTCTGCTGCATGTTTTATTCTCTGTGATTCTTGAGGTGGCTTTTGGATCTCTGAACGATGAATCTGACCAACGCCAAGGGATCCATGTCAACGGCCAGTTCTAGTACCCCTCGGAAATCAGTCGGTGACGGCGACCAGTTCCCGGCTGGGTTGCGGGTACTGGTGGTGGACGATGATCCCACGTGCCTTATGATCCTTGAGAAGATGCTTCGCAATTGTCTCTACGAAGGTAATCAGTCAGTTTTTGTTCAATTGGGATTCAACCCTCTTTTGGTGTCTTAGATTTTATTTGAGTAATAAATTGGTAATAGAAGAAGCAGGACTGCACCATCCTTTCTACGCTTATGTGGAAAACGAATAGTATTCGATGATCTTTAAATTTGAAATCGGTGACATGAAAGGGTATTGCAGACAGAAACCCCTCAATCCATGCCTATGGCTTTGCCTGCAGTGAAGTGAATCAATTCCTTGCGTCTTGAATACCGTTGCTATTCACCTTGGGCTGTCAGATTTGTCTATATTGCGTCTAGATTTTGATGCATGATTGGATGTCAGATTTGTGAGTTTCTTCATAGTTTTCAGTTGGCTCCAAATTTTGAGAATCGATTTTAAGTGCTTGATGAATCATTTGCAGTAACAAAATGCAATCGAGCTGAGGTTGCATTGTCCCTTCTGAGAGAGAACAAAAACGGGTTCGACATAGTTATAAGCGATGTGCATATGCCAGACATGGATGGCTTTAAGCTTTTAGAGCACATAGGGTTGGAGATGGACCTTCCAGTTATTAGTAAGTATCTTGTTTTAATGTTTAGGTAACTAGATCCATTGATTAATTACATCTTGGTGGAGACTGACGTGTTTATCATGCTTACAGTGATGTCAGCAGATGATGGGAAAGATGTTGTTATGAAAGGTGTAACACACGGTGCTTGTGATTACCTAATAAAACCTGTGCGTATTGAGGCTTTGAAGAACATATGGCAGCATGTGGTTCGGAAAAGAAAGAATGACTGGAAGGATTTGGAGCAATCCTATAGTGCAGAAGAAGGAGATCGGCAGCAAAAGGCCTCAGATGAAGCTGATTACTCGTCCTCAGCAAATGAAGGAAATTGGAGAAATGCAAAGAAGAAGAGAGACGAGGAGGAGGAAGCAGAGGAGAAGGATGATACTTCTACATTAAAGAAGCCACGCGTTGTTTGGTCCGTTGAGCTCCACCAACAGTTTGTGGCTGCTGTGAATCAACTGGGAATTGACAGTATGTATTCTTCATTGACACGGTGACACCCTTCGAATGAATATGTACTTCGAGGACTACATTTCTATTGTTCAGTTGTCGTGCTAGGGCCATTGAAGTTGATGCTTCTAAACAAGCTAGTTATTCATGACATTTGCTTGCATATGAAAATCAATCTTTTGGCTATGTTAGTCAGTACTCAGTAGCATCGTGGTTTAGATCCCAACTCAGATTTAGGCACTATGAAGTAATCTTGTCTCTAAGTTATTCTCCCCTACTCAACTATTCACTTGTAGATCTTATCTGTGAAGGATTACGGTGTACTGCTCTTGCTTGAGTCATGATAAATTTGTCTGAGATGTCTACATATCTCATGCTTTCAAATTTGGTATTTTTATACAGAGGCTGTTCCCAAAAAAATTCTGGAATTGATGAATGTTCCTGGGCTCACCAGAGAAAATGTTGCTAGCCATCTCCAGGTACCACAGCTTCCACCGTCCTTATTTTTTTTTCCTTCCCTTTATCGTTCTTATTTATTCTCTTAAGCAATTACGTAGAAGAAACAACTTTATTGTCTGGTTTTTGGTACAGAAATATCGTCTATATCTGAGAAGACTCAGTGGCGTTTCTCAGCACCAGAGTAACATGAACAACTCTTTCATCAGTCCACAAGAAGCAACCTTTGGGACAATGTCAGCATTTAATGGAATAGATCTTCAAGCTCTTGCAGCTGCTGGTCAGCTTCCGGCACAAAGTCTGGCAGCACTTCAAGCAGCAGGACTTGGCAGATCAACTGCTAAAGTTGGAGTATCTGTGCCCCTTCTTGATGAAAGGAACCTTTTCAGCTTTGAAAACCCCAGATCAAGATTTGGAGATGGGCAACAGCAGCACCTCAGCAGTACTAAATCAACAAACTTGCTTCATGGAATTCCTACCAACATGGAGCCAAGGCAGCTTGCCAATTTGCACCAATCAACACAATCCCTTGGCAGCATGAATGTGCGAGTCAATGGATCTGCTGCACAGAGCAACTCTTTATTGATGCCAATGGCTCAACCTCAACCAAGAGGTCAGATGCTCAATGAAAATACTGCTTCGCATGTTCCAAGACTTCCATTATCTGTTGGGCTGCCTACTGTACCAAATGGAATTTCTAATGCTGCGTTGGCAAGAAATGGGATTGCTGGTAATAACAGAGGAGCTGCTTATAATCCTATTCCACAAACTTCTTCAATGTCGATTTTTCCCACAAACCAAACTTCAGAAGTGTCCGTCAGTAGTTTCCCACTTGGAAGCGCCCCGGGCATATCTAGTATCCCACCAAAAGGCGCATTTCAGGAGGAAGATACTTCGGGAGTTAAAGGATCTGGGGGATTTGTGCCAAGTTATGATATTTTTGATGAGCTGCACCAGCAAAAGCCTTTACATGACTGGGGACAAAATGTGGGCCTCACGTATGATACCCCTCAGCGTGCAAATCCTTTACACGGTAGCATTGATGTCTTGCCATCAGTTATAGTAAATCAGAGCTTTTCTTCCTCCGCCCAACAGACCGGACAGAATAGGAATTCTACTCTGATTGGAAAAGCCATGTACTCCCAAGGGAAAGGTTTGGAACAAGGAAATATCCAAAATATTGATCAAAACCTCCATCCACTCGTTGAAAATTCTACAAGGGTTAAGACTGAAATAATTTCTGATGCAAACTCTCATTCTAACTTCTTCCCCGATCATTATGGGCAGGATGATCTCATGAGTGCACTTCTGAAACAGGTTGGTTCTCCTTACCTTTCTCTGGAACCTCTGTGTGTGTGTGTGTGTGTGTGTGTAATCTTCAATGGTACACAGTATTTATATGACTTTTTATGGGGTATTGTTAGCAGCATGAAGGCATTGGAGCAGCTGAGAATGAATTTGACTTTGATGGATATTCCTTGGACAACATTCCCGTCTAGAACTGGCCCTGCAAATTGTCTTTCTGATTGCTGTTGCCAATGTAAATAGTTGCTGCTGTTAATCACGGACTTTATCATTCTACAATTAGCTAGTTTGAAATTGAGTTTTATATTGCTTGATGTCATAAAGTCAGTCTGCTATTGAGATGGTTTAGGTTGGATGATCAGCATCATCATAGTTGTCCATTGTGAAGAATCAAGAATTTACTGTCGCTGCATGTATGCAAAATGCATATGTGCAAATTTTTTGACAGCTTTTGGGAGCAATATTTCCTAGTAAGCGTCGAATTTTAGATGTTCATGAAGTTGAGTTAGGGAAGAATTCAAGAAGCAAGGTTCACACAAGACTCTAGACACGTTGGAGCGTCTCTAACTTGTTAACTACTAAATACGGAATTCGTTTTTTTTTTCCCAATTATTTTTCTTCGATTTCTGAAAATAACTGCTACTAAGCATGTAAATATTTCAATTATTCAGCCTATCGATTCTTTGCTGGTCCTTTCTGTACTTTTTAAGTGTTACATTTGCATTTGTTTGTTCTTTGATAAAAATCTTAATTCAGCCACTACTCCATCCTTTTTTCGTCATGTCAATATCACGCCTGAGAGTATAATTTTGTTTCTGTCCCGCATAAAATGTTTAATTTCTTTAAAATTGTGCGATAATATGCTAGTGAAATTAAAATGAAGCTCTTCCTTTGAAATTTGGATATGTAAGTGATATGGAATGTTGAGCATCATATTGATGTCTGCATAATATTTTTCAGGGACTAGAACAAGGTTTGTCTTGAAAATTAGAGAGAATTTCATGTATTCGTATAAATTCGAGAGAAGTTGTATTATTCACAATTTATAGTAATGTGGCTTCTTGTACTTTTTCATACTAGTATGATATATTATTTTTTGTTTTGGATATAAGAGCTAGTTTAACATTCAATTTGATTCTAAATATAAGATATCAATTCATTTTGCTTATCATATTTATTTATTTTTTTCAAAGTAATCCTCATAATAGTTATATATGTTAAAGGTTATCTTAAATAATAATTCTAGCTAATACACATGATAAGCAAGAGTGTTTTAAGAAAAGACAACACCTAATTATTACAAATAATTAACTTAACAAACTTTTTAATCTACTCAAATTAGTTAACTAGGTTTTATATTAAGGATCAGAAGCAGTATATTGATTGATAATACCTTGGAAGAAGGGAAAATGTGGGTTTAATTCTTGTAAGGGCAATAGAGTATTTCATTTGAGACTTGAGAGTCAAATATAATACTACAATTTGCAAACGGTATTAAAAAAATAATCTTATAGAACTGTGGAAGACTCGAGCATTATTTGTCGAGGACATGAGGTGGTGAGAATGATAGCAGAAGCTGCCGCGAGCAATCCTTTTTTTTTTTGTCCCTTTTTTTTTTTTAATTAAAAGAAGTCAAAGAAACGTCAACTCTATCGTAGATTTTTGTATAAATTTAATTACATTTTTCTGAATTTTTAATATAATCTTAAATGCTAATTTTTGAATCAACGACATACTGTTACACGGAAACTAACAGCGCTAAATTAGATTATTCACTTATCTACATAGATTAAGCTTGGAATTACAGGGACGCTTCAGGTATACTTCTGTTGCTCAGACCAAGTTAACTTCAGGTACTTTAGCCATTTTAAATTTTAATCATAGCTAAGAAGGAAAACAAGAGAGCAAGTATTAAGAGAATTCTCACCTATGGCCAAATTGAGGGTATCCCATAGAACTCGATCGGCAACGAAAACGTATTCTAGCTTCCACTAGCTATGGACACAACAATAATACAATGGAAGGTGGTGATGAATAATTCCTGTACGTTTATTTATAGTGAAAACACAGTTAAATTTCATTTGATGTTCCTCTTCTACCAAGTCAGACATGCGATGAGTAATGAAGAAAAACAATTTTACTATTTCATACCCAAAAAAGAAAAGAATACATTTCTATCATCTAAGACATCTACATTCACCTGCATCACAATCACTTTGAAAAGAATCATATCAATGGAGCATGAAGGATCTCAAGAGGATCAAAAGCAGACATGAAAAATACAGCATCAGTGTCCCTATTGCCACAAAAACACCAACAGAAGCAGTGTGAAGATCATTGAAGTAGCCAGGGAAGATTCCTTCTTAAAGCCATTGGTCGGAAGCACAGAGGGAAGAGAGCACTCCTCCCCGTTGAAGAAGACTTTAGTAGGGAACCCATCTCCACCTGCCACATTGATTCCGGCAGTAGTTTTCTTTGTAAAAGAGATCACGGACTGCTGTTTACCGGGAACCCTTGGATCACTCGCAGGGTTTGCCCCATCAGTTTCTGCCACTAGGTAGTTCAATCCTGGAAGACCTTGCATAAATATTGTATTATTAACACCATCCAAGGCACTTCCATTGAAGGAATACATTTTCTCAAAACCTGAAGCTGCTTTGTCCATTTGCACAGCAGCAAACCAGTCAACAAAATTAGTGTCTCCCCAGTTGAAAAGTGTGACCCTTGCACTCCATCCTCGGCTATAGTCTGTAAGAAGATGCCAGTTTAATGTCACGCCGCAGTTATCACCACACGGCAATGGCTTTGGCACTGACAGATGTTTCAGACTAGCCCAAGCAAGTGCCTTAGCAGTCCGATTCACAAAAGGAACAAGAAGCGCCTCTGGTGGAAGAAGCATAGCCGATGCAGTAGTACTGCAAGTTTTTGCTGTGTTACTGGGGCAGCCACAGGCGCATGTTTTGCAAGGAATGACAGATTCGTTATAATATGCAGAAAATGAACACAACATTTACGTGGTGCCCCTTTGGCCTGTGTTATGTTACAAACAACCTGCCAGCTTGCCATTGCAGATTTGTTTGATGGTATGCCTGAAGGATCTGGGGTTTCACTAGGACTTACCCTGATGGGTGGGCCACATTTGTAGTCAGGGTTTAGCGTACCGCTTATCTTCCAGTTCTGCGGTGGTGAAAGCTGGGAGCGATTAAGGTCTGGTGGCAATTTAAAGACCTGCATTTGGAATCTTGAAGATGACATGCTTGGGTCCATCAATGGTGGCAAGATTGTACCATTCCGGCAGCAAAAAGGAATCTTCCCCAGCTCTGTGTCATTAAACTTTGTGGGAGGGAGATCAATTATCGTTGGCCTTCTTTCACAATTCAGTACATTGGCAAAGTCAAGATCTTTGTAGTATGTACCTTGTGGGCCAAATATACAATCAGAAGAATCCACATTAGTTGGATAAGCCCCCTTCATTGAATAAATGAACTCGCCCTTCATCCAATCCCAGTTTAATTTCCAGTTGTCAAGACGGCCAAGAGGGTTATGATTTGAGATTGTAATCTCTGCCCAATAATTGGAATCATAAGTTCTGATCACATCATACATGATTGTAAGATCACCATTCTGGCGGGGTAAGAATTCTTCGTCCGTGGTTATGTTTGTCTTGAATTTGGGATCTTTTGTACAACAGACTCGAGTCTCATTCTTACCTATAAATCAAACATAAGTTTATCAATCATTTGTTCTAAGGCCAAAAGAGGATTGAATTATTCTTAGTTAAACAGATAGAGAGAGAAACAAGAATCTCTGTCAACCATCCTCTACATCTATAAGTCGCAGAATATTCAACATTTTAACTATGGAGCGTGGATTCCAATGGAAAACAAAGTTGAGTCGCCTAAATTTCAAAACGATAGGATTCAGCTAACGGACAAGGTCCGAACTTCGAAGAACATCTCCAAGAGTATGGCAGCATCTCACAAAATGAACCAGTTAGCAATTCATCCTTGTAAAATCATATTTAGAAGCAAGAAACTAGTAGCCACTCAGGGCAACATAAATGTAGGAGAGAATCCAATTTAGCAACTGTCTAATACCAAAAAAGCTGGTATTACTTCTTTGCGAAAGGGAAAAGGAGGGGAAAAAACGTAGAGGATCATAAAATGAATCAACGAATCTCCACATATGCTCAAACAAAAGCATCGAAGCAAACACAAATCGCTAGGATGACAAATCGAAACTAAAACAAAGAATAGAATCAGTCAAATCACCTTGACCGGTGGGCTTACGACAGACGAATCCATCATTGGCGAGGGTGATGTTTGCGGGCATCGGCACGTTGGGAGGCGCCACACCGAACACTGTGCCCACCAAGTCGATCTGACCCTGCATCTGCGTCAGGTCCCCAGCAGTCTCGACCGCCGTCTTGAGATCAGTCATGGGGTACCCAGCAAAGACGGTACCGTTTCCGACGCCAGCAGGGAGGCTAGTGCCGTCGCCGAGCACCGCATTAGACGCAGAGACTAAGAACTCGTTGTGCTGGAACCCCACAAACACCTTCCAGGACTTGAGCTCGTCGAGTCCATTGTTGAGCACAGTGATCGTGGATTCGAATCGGTACGGTTGCTGCTTTGGATCAGAGACATTGGGCGGCAGCCGTGTTCCTCCGGTATAAGCGTACGACAAGAGTATACCGTTGCAAGAGCTGGCAGTCTGAGCACGAGAAATCGAAGGCAGTGCGAAGAAGATGAGGAAGACGGCGACTTGGAAGGAGAGGCAGCAGCAACGGGAATCTGAAACCATGTTTGGGGATTAATCACGGGTCTGAAATTCGAAATATGAAGGAGAGAGAGGGGGAATGAAAGGGATGTAAGTAAAGTAAGCTTTTTTAAGAGAGAGAATGCGGAACCGCGTAGTATGGTTCTGAGTTCTAACTCTAAACAGCTTGGAGGAAGCTGTACGCGAGAATGGCAGGCTAATGGAGACCATGATGTGAAACTGAGAAAGGAGAATATATTTAATTAAATCAATAATTATTTAGCTGCCTAATTAGCAATTATCTAATGCTGCGTTTGAGTGAAGAAGGGTCAATTCAAACTGATACGAATCAGAGGTCGCATTCCTTCCCGTTTCAGATGCCTTTTTTTTTAAAAAAAAGTGCAACTTATAATTTTAGGAGTTGAACAAAACCATGATTTTAGAAGTATTTTTACAGTATACAAAGTAAATATGTGGAGAAGTTTGTCTTGATTTGCGGAAAAGTGTCTTTGGGTTATCCAAACACCCTATGAGAGGGTTTTAAAAGTGCTTTTACAGTTTATGAAGTAAATATGTGAAAGAATTTACCTCATTTTGTGAAAAAATATTTTTTAAAAGTGTTTTTGAGGGTTGCCAAACACTCCTTTGATATCACTTAAAAAGATACTCATTTTAGTAATATGATTGTGTGCAGGAAAAAAGA